CATCAGACTTGGCGTTAAATAACATTTAATTATTTCTAAAAATCAACCCCATCTCCAAGAGATAAATACTTACTACCCCAGAAATTATGCAGAAGAATTTGCTGTAGAATCTGCCAAAATATCAGTTTGAGAAATGTTTTGAACAAAAGGAACGTCACTAACATTAGATTCAGGTCACTATTTTTCAAGGCCACTTTTTAAGTTTTCTGTTTGCAGCTTTATTATCACATTTTAATTGTAATTATTACATAACTTTCTCTCAATGAGACAGTCCTTATAGTACTGAAACCTTACTTTTATTATTTACTGTACTCTTCGTGCATGTATATGTATTGTCTAGCACATAATAAACATTTAATAAATGTTTGCCAACAAGACAGTACTCATTTAGATAAATATATGTTCTGAAAAGTTAGTGAATGACCCAAGGTCATAGCATATGCTAAGGCTATTTATGTTTTTTGTCCACTTTAAAGAATATACTTTTCATAGTCTCTCAGGGCTTCACAATAGGGCTGTATTGGAGTTTAAAATTCATAGCTTTTTAAATCAAAGGAATAAAATTTAAAAACAAAGATGAGATATTATTCGGCAGTTATAACCCACCAGCTGCTCTGCATGAGAAGGATGTTGCAGTGTGCTTCAGCAAAGATTTACAGCCTTGGAGACCCTGTGGGGCAGTTCTACTGTCCTATAGGGTCGCTATGATTTGGAATTGACTCATCGACAACGGGTTTGGTTTTTGGTTTTATCATTTCCCTGAATTCAAATGATCATATATATAAGCAGGGACATGAGCATTCTCATGCAATGCTTGTGATATTGAAAAATTGAGGAAAGTAGTTTGGAAGTGTATATCAAAAACCTTTAAATATGCTTGCCTGTTAGCACAGAAATTTTGCTTCAAATTTTTTACTCGTGGAAAAATTAACGGTGCGTAAATGTAGACACATGGATATTCATCTCAGTACTATTTACAGTATATAAAAATGTCTAATAATAGGAGATTAGTGAGTAAACTAGAGTCCCTGGGTGTTGTAAACGGTTAACATGTGCAGTTGCTAACTGGAAGGTTGGAGTTTCCAGTCCACCCAGCGGTGCCTCGGAAGAAAGGCCTGGCAATCTATGTCTGAAAAATCAGCCATTGAAAACTCTATGGAGCACAGTACTACTCTGACACACACGGGGTCACCATGAGTTGAAATCAACTCCACAGCAAAGTTTTTTTTTTTTTTAGTGAGTAAATTATGATAATTCTCAGAATAATATGCAGCCACAAAAAATAATGATGCCCAAATATATTGACATAGAAGGATGGTCAGAAACATAGTGCAAAAAGCAGTTTACAAAACTGTAAACTACAAAATTTTTTTTATTGAAGTGAAATTCATGTAACAAAACTAACCATTTTAAAGTGAACAATTTAATGGCACTTAGTGCATTCAAAATGATGGCTAATCACACCTCTATCTAGTTCAAAAACATTTTCATCTTCCAAAATCAATCTCCATACCCATTAGGCAGTTACTTCCCATTGCCCCCTCTCTCCAACCCCTGGTAACCACCATATGCTGTCTTTGACTACCTATTCTGGATATTTCATATAAATGGAATCATATGGTGTGTGACCTTTTGTGTCTGGCTTCTTTCACTTAGCATAATGTTCCACTTAGCATAACGTACATCTACGTTGTAGCATGTATCAGTACTTTATTCCTTTTCATGGTTGAAATATGTATATATATATGCATATATGTATGTGTATATACATATATATATATATAAAACAAACAAAACAAAACAAAACCTGTTGCCATCAAGTCAATTCCGACTCATACCGACCCGATAGGATAGAGTAGAACTGCCCCATAGGGTTTCCAAGCAGCAGCTAGTGGATTTGAACTGCCGACCTCTTGGTTAGCACCCTAGCTCTTAATCACTATGCCACCAGGGCTCCACATGCATACATACATACATGTTGTTGGTGTTGTTAGGTGCTGTCGAGTTGGTTCTGACTCATAGAGACCCTATGTACAACAGAATAAAACACTGCCCAGTCCTGCGCCATCCTCATAATCGTTGCCAGGCTTGAGCCCATCGTTGCAGCCACTGTGTCAATCCATCTTGCAGAGGGTGTTCCTCTTTTCTGCTGGCCCTCTACTTTACCAAGCATGATGTCCTCCTCCAGGGAATGATCTCACCTGATAACATGTCCAAAAGGTGTGAGACATAGTCTCACCATCCTTGCTTCCAAGGAGCATTCTGGCTGTACTTCTTCGAAGACAGATTTGTTCGTTCTTTTGGCAGTCCATAGAATATTCAACATTCTTCGCCAACACCACAATTTGAAGGTGTCTATTCTTCTTCGGTCTTCCTTATTCATCGTCTGGCTTTTGCATGCATATGAGATGACTGAAAACACCACTGCTTGGGTCAGGTGTACCTTAGTCTTAAGGTAACATCTTTGCTTTTCAATATTTTAAAGAGGTCTTTTGCAGCACATTTGCCCAATGCAATGTGTCTTGTGATTTCTTGACTGCTCCTTCCATGGGTGTTGATTGTAGATCCAAATAAAATGAAATCCTTGACAACTTCAATCTTTTCTCAGTTTATCATGATGCTGCTTATTGGTCCAGTTGTGAGGATTTCTGTCTTATTTATGTTGAGGTGTAATCCATAACAAAGGCTGTGGTCTTTGATCTTCATCAGTAAGTGCTTCAAGTCCTTTTCACTTTCAGCAAGGAAGCCTGCATCATCTGCATAACGCAGGTTGCTAATGAGTCTTCCTCTGATCCTGATGCCCTGTTCTTCTTCATATTGACCAGTTTCTTGGATTATTTGCTCAGCGTACAGATTGAATCGGTATGGTGAAAGGATACAACCCTGACACACACCTTTCCTGAGTTTAAACCAAGCAGTATCCCCTTGCTTGGAACAACTGCCTCTTGGTCTATGTACAGGTTCTTCATGAACACAATTAAGTGTTCTGGAATTCCCATTGTTTACAATGTTATCCATAATTGGTTATGATCCACACAGTCGAATGCCTTTGCATGGTCAATAAAACACTGGTAAACATCTTTCTGGTATTCTTTGCTTTCAGCTAGGATCTACCTGACATCATCAGTGATATCCCTGGTTCCACATCCTCTTCTGAATCTAGCTTGCATTTCTGGCAGTTCCCTGTCAATGTACAGCTGCAATCGTTTTTGAATGATCTTCAGCAAAATTTTACTTGCCTGTGATGTTAATGATATTGTTCAATAATTTCCACATTGACTATACCAGAAAGAATTGGTCGATGTTCGACCATTTCAGGAGGTAGTATATATGACCACGAACCAATGGTATTGAAGGAAGAAGTCCAAGTTGCACTGAAGGCGTGGGTGAAAACCAAGGCTCCAGAAATTGACGGAATACCAATTGAGACGTTTCAACAAACAGAAGAGATCCTCCGTATTTATGCCTATTCCCAAGAAAGTGATCCATTAATATCACATACATATATATACATAAAATCACAATTTCTTTATTCATTCTTCCATTGATGGCCATTTGGGCTGTTCCCACCTTTCGACTATTGTGAATTAGTGCTGCTATGTACATGCATGTACATATGTACCGCAGAATATCGTTCTCACAAGTATCTATTAGCAGAGGAACATTTCAAGAGTATTAGCAGCCATTACTTTGGGTTGGAGGGATTACAGATAAATTATTTTATATTATTAAGAGACTGAACTTTAGAATTAAGCAGACCAGACTCCATAACCTACCTAATTGGATTATTGCTAAAAGTGAATGAAATATATGTGAAGTACAGCACTTAAAAATATGCAGGAGTGCATTGTAACTACTGAATAAATAGTATATTTTTATTGTTTGGTTACATTTATTTAAAACATTTTCCCCTAACGGAATACATATTGGTGTTAAGCAGGCTTTTTTGCAAGTGTATTTACAGGCTATCCACTAAATATAAAAGTTCACTTTTGCCGATAGTCATTTGAGCTGGTGTCTGCCGGAGGCTGGCAGATTGTTTGACCTGACGACATCACTTTGAGTAAGTATAGTTCTACACTGTTTAACTTTCCCCCTAAATTTCAGTTAAAATAATATTCCAGGTAGAGCATTCTCCAGCCCTCCGCCATAATTCCTCTTCCATTCTATTGTTTGTTTCAGGATTGCTTTATAACTTACATACACAACCAGCCAAGTTCTGCGTCTTAGAAACTGTAACAGAGACGGAAGGATAAGTGAAGGGCACAGGCTTTTTCATACATACAGGAAAATACTTTGCGATCAGGTTATGCCAAAAATATAAATTGTCCCCCAGAATATCCCTCTTTTAACTTCCTAGAAAATTTCAAATTTTATTTTTCAGTGTAATCTCAAATTTCTTCTTTGCCAAATATTCACATCTCGCACACAGCAAAAAGGTTTTCGTCCAGAGCCTTCCCGCCTCCCCAGGTTTGGGAAGCCTGAATTCGTTGTCTGCAGCCCACCGGAGCAGCCACAGCGCAGGAGTTTCGAGGGGAGAGCTGAGGCGTCACGTGGAGGGGAGGGGACGCCCGACGACAGGCGCCTGGGTTCGAGTCCCCACGCATCCCCAGATCCCAAGCCTGGGCGTTCCCTAAAGCCTTGCAGCGAGGGGGAACTCGCCCTCCCGCTCGCGTCCGCGCCGGCACAGGTGTCCGGGTGGCGCGCCGGGGCCCCTGCGGGCAGGCGAGCGGGGCGGGAGCCGCCTGCTCGCGGGGGCTAGGGGCCCGAGGGGGAGGTTCCCGCGAGGTGGTTCTCGGGCTCCTCCTCGGCGCCTCAGGTTTCTCCTCCCCGCCCGCCGGCTGGTGGCTGCGAGGCGCCTCCCTCCCTCCCTCTTTCCCCGAGGCTGGGCCCACGCTCCGGCGTCTGCACCCCTGGCCCCGCCCGGGCCTCCTCCCGCTTCTCTCTCCGCTTCCCCTCGAGCCTCCGGAGGACCCCGCAGCCGCCGGGCGCCCGAGAAGATGGCGGCGGCGGCGGGAGAAGGCGGTGGCGGCGAAGGGGGCGCGGGACTGGGCGGCGCGTCCGGGCTGGGGTCGGAAACCGGGCCGCGCGGACCGGGCTTCTCCGCCGAGGCGCGCGAGGGCGCCCGGGGCCCCTCGTCCGCCGCGCTGGACCCCGAGGAGGTCGCCGCGCGGCTGCAGCGGATGCGGCGGGAGCTGAACAACCGCAGGAAAATCCTGGTGAAAAACCTGCCCCAGGACAGCAACTGCCAGGTACGAGGCGCGGGCTTTGGGGCGACGCGTCCCTGGGGGCGACGGGGCAGGGCTCAGGAGGAGAAGCTGTCCCCGAGGTGTCCAGGCTAGAGCCGGACGCCTGAGGGCGGTCGGGGGAAGAAGGGTTGTTGCAGTGATGAGAACAGCCCCTGGTTTTTGCAAAGCCATCTGGGTTTCTGAACATGCGGCCACCCTACGAGGGAGGGTGGCATATTAGGAAACTGAGGCTCGGAGAGGCGAAACGGCTTGTCCACGGTGGCGAGAATCGGGGGCGGCTGCCTCCAAGTCCAGTCCGCTCTTTCCTTCCTCTACTGCCCTTGGGTGTGTATGGAAGGAAGGGGTGGGGGTAGTAGGTGAGGGAGAGTGGGAGTGAGTTGTGGAGCACAGGTTTGGGGGGCCGAGTCTTGGGGAGCACCTTGAGAGGGGCGGAAGGTGCCGCCTGGGGTGCTCCGCACTTGGGTGTACCACGGGGTCGGGGTCCCCGGAGAGCCCGGAGTGAGTTTTGCTGTTCAAAAGTCCTTAATCAAGTTTGTATGAAACAACTCTGCTCAGTTTGCTAAGGCCCCAGAGTAGAGAGGATATCACTGGACTTTGGAGAGCTATGCCAAGTAGTGGAGGATTTGTTCCTCAGTGACTCTGATGAGGCTTAAAGATAGGTCACTTTGTGTCTTTGATCCACATTAACTGTTGCTTTAAGATTAGAAGCTCTGCATCTATTTAACTTTTTTTTTTTCTTTCTGATTGCAAAAGTTACATGCTGATTGTAGGAAACCTAGAGAATACAGAGAAGCACATAGGGAAAAATGGAAATCACCCATCTTCCTGATCCCGGAAGATAACCATTGTTAACATTGGATATATATACTCTCTTTTCATGTGGATACGCATACATGCATTTTTGTTTTACCAGAAAATGGGATCATTTATTTGATTTTTCAGAGTTTCTTAACTGTCTGGATTTCACATATATTTCATATACAAATTGAGTTTATGTATTATGTGTGGATGGGGAGGGTAGGCTGTCCTCACTCGGGAACGAGAAAACTCAGTGAGAACAGTTGTGTATTATGTATGTTTTCTGGTAGTGGAAGAGATTTGGAGCCATTTATCTAATTTCTTCCTGTAACCAGCTTCATGAAGTAAGAGAACTGACTATTGACAATTTCATGGCAGTTCTTCCATGTTGTTGTTAGGTGCTGTCAAGTTGATTTTCAACTCATAGTGACCCCAAGTGACAGAGTAGAACTGCACCATAGGGTTTTCTAGGCTGTAGTCTTTCCGAAAGCAGATTGCCAGGTTTTTCTCCTGCAGAGCCACTGAATGGTTTCAAAGCACCGCTTTCGATTAGTAGCCCAGCACTTAACCATTTCGCCACCAGGGCTCCTAGTTCTTCTATATGACCCACAAAATATTGAGACCAGTGCCCCATTACTATGTAATTAGACCTTACATAGCCACTAATAATAAACATGAGCATATAACCCTATAGATCATGTGCGTGAGGTGGTGTTTTATTTTAAAATGCAATGTAAAAAATTCTCTGTCAACCTTTATCTCATCCTTTCAACTCTCTCCACCATTGTCCACGTCCTATGGACCGTGTTTTGTCCAGTTGTCTACTTCCTCAGGTGGTGTTTTATGATGCTATCTATACGGACATCTCCAATGGACTGATTTCATGGAAGCAATTTTCTCTGTCCATGCAAATAAAGAGCAAGGGAGCTTGGAAAAAGGAAAGCTTTGAAGAGCAGATGGCATTTAAAAAATTTCAAGAAGTAGCAGCTCTGTGTGTAGATAATCTAGGAGAAGAGAGGTGGAGAAATGTCTTGATTTTGTTTGTAGAATATCAACTATTTTTAGTACATTTCCTTTCATTAATTAAAAAAATATGTAGGCCTAAAATTCTAGACAGTGTTTGTTCTTGCTTTGAGGTTGGTATGTTTCTCTTTTCTCTTCTCAACAGGTAAAATATGTTTATCAAAGAGACTAATAAAAGGAACTGTTTTAATTGTCTGGTAGTAGTGATGGAGAGAGACTTTATGAGAACGATACAGTGATTTGTATTTTTGGGGTATTCTTTCTCTTCTGTGAACTTATGTTTAGCCTAAATCACAGGATTTTCTGTAAAGTAGCAAACATAAATTATCAAATAAAATTGGTATAAAGTCTGCGTGTCTAGATGAGTCTTTACTGCCAACTGAAGTATCTTACATTCTTACGCCAAGTTACATGCTTTTTGATAGCTGAAATGTTTCATCTAAAAGAAAAAAAAAAAAAAAGATGTTAGGAATTAGAGACTTGTTTCCAGACTTGTCCTAGCATTTATTTTATCTATAATAATTTCCATAATAAAAGTGTTGTATTTAATAGGCCAAACATATAATTTTAAAATGTAAGCAGATCAGTGTTTAATTACATATAGTAACTTGCTCAAAAGTAATGTGCTTCCTGAGAGTAGAGAAAACCAAAGACTCAAGGGAGCAATTAGTCCAAAGGACTAATGGACCACATGCACTGTAGCCTACACGACCCTAGACCGGAAGAACTAGATGGTGCCCAGCTGCCGCTAATTGTTAATCTTACCAGATTTTGTTTAATTTTTGGTATAACAGATTGATAATAGCATCCCATAACCTTTCAGTTCCTATACTAGAAGACACATTTAATGTGTTATTTTTAAGTGGGAGCTTTTAGACGTACGTGTATCAAATACTTTATAGAAATGCTAGCTCTGTATAAAACCTGACACCTTTATATTAATAAATTCTTAGAAGCTGTTTCACTCAATAGCTACCCTGTGTTTTGTCAGGCCCTATCTGGTCTGCCTCCTAAGCTTTTTTGAATCTTCCTGGCATTTGTTTTCACAGTCTCAGCTCTGGTTCAGATCCTTTTCTTCTCTTGCACAGATTATTAGAACTTTCAGTTAGTCACCTGCCTTCATTATTGTCCTGCCTCTTATGTTTTAGCTCATCCTATATACTGCCTTCCCTGAGAAATCTTTCCAAAGCACAGATCTGATCGTGTCACTTTCCTGCTTAAAACAAACAAAACTTTGGCTCTACATTCCCACCAGTGCTTCTCAAATTTTTCTTCTAATTGTGCTTAGCAGTAGGGAATAGTGAACCTAAATTAGCCTATTGCAAGAATGAAATTGCTTTGACTCATCTTCTGTCTGAAAAATCATGTTTTATATTCTACTAGTAAAATTGTATTTAATATAAAAATAGTGCTTTACTAAGCTCTCCTCATTTTTTTGTAAACTTGACACTTATGGAAGATGCACCATATTTATCCTATGATCTTCTATACTCTTAGACTTCGGTTTGAAAAACATGACATAATAGGATAGAAATCTAAGATTCTTAGGCTTTATGTTATCTGGCCCCTGCCTCTCTTTCTAGTCTTATTTCTTATTAGCCCTGCATTGTATTCTACCCCCAACATTATCAAGCTATCTAGATTCCCCAGTAGTCCCTGGGTGGTTGATGCGCTTGGCTGCTAACTGAAAGGTTGGAGGTTCGAGTCCACCCAGAGGCACCTTAGAAGAAAGACCTGGCAAGTGACTTCCAAAAAATCTGCCACTGAAAACCCTATGGAGCACAGTTCTACCCTGACACACATGGGGTTGCCAGGAGTTCAAATCAATTCCTCAGAAACTGGTTAGATTCCCCCAAGTACTTCATTCCACTGTGATTTGAATATTTATAGTTATGTCTTTGAATGTTAGCATTGTGGAATGTAGTTGTTTATAGGGAACATAACAATGTTGTGAACACTGATTCTTATTCAGAATAGCCACTGTGTGTGTGTGCCTATGTGTGAGCATAGTCTTTTGCAACTCTGAATTTACAAATTTTGATTAGTTAAGGTAATGCTCTAAAATATGTTCTTACTGCATTTCTATAAATTGTTTATATTTTATGCTTACCCTGGTTCTGTTTCATTGTTAGTGGAGTTTTAAAATAGATGACAGTGGCATTTTACTTCTATGTAATTTATTTTGTTTTCTTACATGTCTTGTGTGTACATGTGTTTTGTTTTTGTTGTGTTGTTTACTTTAAAATTTAAGAGAGATTACGTTGTGTAATTAGAAGAAAATCTGAAGTGCTTAGGGCTGGCAGCCGGGATCAGTAATAGAAGAAACATTCTATTGTTTCACTTTGGGTATTATAACTTTTATTTTAAAGCACCCTATTATGGTAGTTAATTGAGAAGCTTGATGGTTAACTCACAGGGGCCCATCTGAAAGCATAGTATTATCAACTAAGTTGTTTTTAGAATCACAAACCACCAAATGTAGGAAACTCTGGTTGATTTTATTTTTAAAACCTACTTATCTCCCTTTTTTCTTTTACATTAATATATAAACAATAGGATTTTCTTACCTACTTTGTTTTTTATAACTGTGAGATATTTTATATCTATTATTTGTTTTCTCTAACAATGTATTCAATAATTATTTCCTCTTTTTAAAATAGGTCAATTATTCACAACTTTTTCCTGACTAATACTGGGATGTTTTCTCATTTTGAAATTGTTCTTGTTTTGTGGAATATGCCACCTTGCTTATGTCTGGAAGTTACTTTTCTTACTTTTGTATGTAGTACTTAACATTATCTATTATGTTTTCTTAATGTAGTTAAGCAGAATTGAATTATGGGTTCTATATCTGTTCAGTGTGTTTTATTATCCTGTTCCCAAGAATGCATGTAATAACAAGGACATTGAAAGCTGCTAAAGGAATATACTTCTAGATTTCTGGGACACCACTGGCTTAGTAAGCTTCTGGTTTTGGCAGAAGTTCTTTAAAAGTGTTTCAGAAATGCTTGTACTCTGCTTTGAAAACACATTGAAGAAGAGAAGGAATACTTTGTGGTTAGCATCACAATGCCTGTGTTAACAACCAGTCTAAAGATGTTTCAGGTAATACACAGACCACTTCCCGATTAATGAATGGGTTATGCTTAGAAATTATTTTTTTGGACTTGCAATATGTTTTC